TAGGCAGTTATAAAAAAAATTAATCTTGTATCCTTCTTAACGCCTTGTTAATGTGTGTGTGTTGGTATTAATGACCGAAAACAGTCATTTTCGCCTCCACCTCGATGACGAGTACAGGCTCCGGCACTGACAGGTCTGCTTGCAGCATTGGATTTAAATTCCTTCCAAAAACCGCACGAGTTCTAGTGTCACCTGCAGGATGCCGAGTTAAAGGTGATTTGGGTACAGTTTCAGAGGTTTAGGTATCAGATACGTGGTTCTGGTGACACAGTTATTGATACTATCAAGTCACATACTATGAAAGGACTTTAATAAGCAATAATATGATGCTGCTTTGTATATAAAATCTCCGCTGATGCAACCTCACATGGGGTGGGTTTTGTATATTTTATACTTAAAAGCAAAGTGATGATTTAATGCCTGCCAAATTGTAGTCGGTTCAATGTTGCTATCAAGGGGAATAAAATTCCAATCAAATCAGCTTTTAGAAAGAATTCGGCAATATAATGCTCATAAGCTGTTTTGTAATGCGTTAAGGCACAGTTTGACATGTGCTGCTGGTTAACCATGCGCTTTCAATTATTGCACACCCCCGTCTTCCAGCCAGAAAAATTATGGAATGATTTCTCGCCGGGGGGTGCTTCCCATTGCTGTTCAGTGAGGGAAATGGATTCGTTCGTGCTAAACAAAGAGAAAAAAGGCAGGAATGGTGGCGATACTGCTGCAGGGGGGCAAAATGCAGTTCAGTGGCCGTGCGTAGATGGAAAAGCGCGTGGGTTTGGTGAGATGCCTCCGTGTTCTTCTGCTTCCCTCTGCTGGAGCGTGGCCAGATTCCGGCCCGTCTTCCAAGCAAATCCCAACCCCCTTTAGCAGGGCCAGAGATGGCTGGCTGGGCAAGTCACTTTGCAAACTCCGTTATTCCTTTTTTTTAAGGTTTCTGCTCCATTTTTGGTTTTCTTTCAGTAGGTCCCCATAGCACAAGTCTCCATACAGCACAGCTCTCCCGGTCCGCGCGATTCGGTGGCTGCCTCCCTCTGTATAAGCCTGGCTCAGCTTTGAGACTGATGAACGATATTTGGATTTTTGGGGGGCTGTATGGGGTGTAGATACCCTGTTGCTATTCATCGTTATAGGGACGCTGCACCCAGATATGTCATGACAGGCTCAGAAACTGCAGTGGAATTGCAGAGCGCTGGCTAGATTTCTGCCAATTTAAAGGTTTTTCAAAGACAAATATTTAAGTGTCTGTGATATCGATTGCCCAGAGTTTCCTTTCCCATTTAATTATATTATATTGTATTCAGTTGTACTTATAAAAATGGGGGATTGACTTAATAATAGCAGAAAATTCACTTTTTAGCGTGAAAATAACATGAATTTTAATAGAGCATATAATTCATCACTGCATAACAAGTGCTTTCCCATTGCTTTCCCATTGCCACTTTTCACCTTCATAATTTTGATGGATTTTGGAAACAGAAGTGGGTTTTCCCTTTGGAGTTTCACAATTAATCTATGCCAAGTTTAGTGCAAAGTTCAATTCTCTTGCAAATAGCAGCCATTATTTGGCAGTTCATCTGTCATATCCTGGCTTGGCTCCCTGTGTTTACTGTGAAATATGACTGCCAGCGATGCTTTGGGAATTATTGAAAGTTTACATTGATTAAAAGGGGATATTTGAAGAAAACTTACAGGAGCTTACCTGTAACTCGGTAGTTTACCTCTGGCTGAAAAATACTAAAGGCGATGCTCTTTCCTCAATAATGCATGTCAGTCACTCAGTGCATATTTAACATTGGGAAGGATTAACAACTAATAAGTTAATTGCTGTAAATAATATAAGTAATTAGTGACGGCAATGTAGTAATTATTACTAATATAGTTAACTTATAATTAAAGTGTAAGCTATAGATTCAAGGGTTGTTCTAAGTGCATGGGGACCCCATGTCAATACAGGGAATAAGATGGAAAGGTTTTATCACCCGTGAGGGGTGTCTGGAGAGCTCTTGGCTTTCTCTATGTGTTCCCAGACTTGCTGGCAAATTAACAAAGTTTTGTATACTTCAATTCACCAAAAATAAAAAAAATGCATAAGATTGAAACAGAAAAAAAGGATTAAATACTGATCAAGAGTGCACTCTCTTAATTTTTAGCTTTTAAGTATTGTTTAGGTTCCTCTGTTTAGTTCTATTAAAGGGATTTTAAAGGAGAGATTTCCTACATGCAACGTTTCCATTTCAGGAGTGGCTTTGGTACTGTTTTCCTTTGTCCTCTTTTTTTATGCGCTGCCTAGAGTAAGTGACTTCATGTGTGCATATAGAATAATAACTAGTAATAGTCAGGACATACTCGCTGCTCTTTAAAAAAAACTAATTCATATTTTAAACATCCTACAGTAGGCATTTTCACACAATGGTAGAGAGCTAAACATTTATTATAGAAAGTAAACGATGATTCAGATTCTATACATTGAGTCATACAGGGCCAACTTTAAGGTTTGATCCAACTTGATTTATTTATTCACATGACAGGTTTATTTATTTTATTTCATTATTAATATATTAATATAGTATATATATTTATAATATATATACTATATTAATATTATTAGTTTATTTCATTATTTTATAAGAATGCTTTTGCTGGGATTTCGCCGTTGCGTGCAGTCAGGGGCAGGAGCCTTTGCTCGCGTCGTGCTGCTTTGTAGTGAGTGCAGTATAGTTGTCCTCACATGTCACAACATTTTTAAGCCGCACGCACACCCCTGCTTAACTTAATTACCATGTATATTCCATTGATTGGAATGGAATTATTGGGTACTGATTGTTACATAATTTCAGCATAATATACAGGTTCGATGTATTTAGTAAACATTCACTATAATAATTTACCATAGTTCTTTCCCCTCTATATCATTACTTTATACTCATAAATACCACTTATGTCAGATGTTAAACACAACTTTAAAAAATCTGTTTATTCAGTGTCAGTTCTCAGAAGCTGTGGGTTTTGTCCTTCTCAGCAACAGATGTGCTTACCAAAGTAACATTTAAGTGTATATATTTATAAGGCAGCAAATCCCCTTACGTCTTGTAAATAAAACAATTTAAGGAAGAATTGGCTTTGAAAATGTGTTTTAAATTGTTTGGAAGGCATATAGTCAGAGTCGATCCATCAGATAACCCTTTAGTAAAGCAATGTTCCCATGACCCTGCACCACAAGACCCATTGGCTATATCTTTAATAAATAACGAAACAGATGTTCTCTGGAGCATTGGATGTCATTCCATTTAGGTTAACTGTTTACAAAATGGAGATGGTTGTTAGCAGTTCGCGTTTCCCATCTCAGGCTGTGTAACAAACACAACTATTGAAATAGTCTCAATTTGAATTCTTCATGTAAAATCTTTACTTGTTATCCTGGATACTGTATAATCTCTATCTGTGCAGTTAAAACCAGTGGTTATAGGTTCATCATAAAACTTAGAATCAGTAGCAAAAAAATTCACCCAAAAGGTGCTTACCAAAGCAAAAAAAACCCAACCTTTGCAAAGTGTAGTATTGCAAAATATTAAATTTTGAAGGCAAGAGTTTTATGGTAATTACTGTTAGAAGTTCCCAAATTTCTTGAGAAAGCACTTGTGCATGAGGAATCTTTCATTTTTGAAGAAAGACTTCACAGGTTTTCCATTTTGTATAACATGCTGTGCTTTGCTTTTCATTTTTTTGAAAGCTTTTATTGGCAAATGCAAGTTGAAAAGTTAGTTTGCTGTTTAAGACAATTTAATAATTCTTATCTAATAGAAAGGTATATTAATATAAAACATAAACAGAAGAAAAACGTTTTGATGCCTCATTTTGCAGTTGTCTTTTTGCTGAGGTTGTTTTAATGGGTGAAAGCCCTGGCATTTCATCATTTCCATGGTCCTTCTGTAAAGAATGTCAGCAAGAAACCATTCCAAACCCCACTGTATGTTTTTTAAAGTAGAAGAATTAGTGCTCTTCCCAACTTCTGATGAAGATTGTGCAGCGATCATTTTGACTCAAATACGGTTGGGGCTGGAAGGGTTGCTAAATGATAGCAAATGTAGGCGATGTGCACAGAAGCCTATTTGTTGTGGCAATGCCCATCTCCAGCGGGCTGCGGCACGTCGAGTTCTGCGGGTGCGCGTATGTGGCATGAGCCTGACACGGGGGAACGTATTGAAGAGGTCATTTCTTCCTTTTATATGAACGTTCTTGGTTTTCCAAAAGGGTTCTCTACCCCTAGAGAAAAGGCAAATGTATTTGGACGTGTCATACATTTAAGTGATTTGGGTGTATTGCCTTTCACTGGTCCTAAATTAGAAACCATTTCCAAGTTGCTGGTGGCCTTAAAACATCCTCGCTATAAGTTTCTCTGTTCGAAAATCCGATGGGAATAGCAGTCTCTGTTAAATATTTACTACGTGCCAAATTAGACTTTGTTCACTTTCATTTTCAATAATACAGGTCATAAATTTGCAGCATTTCAAGATGATCCCCGTCTTGAAGATCCTGATTTTACAGTTATTTGAGTGTATTTCAGATTAGCCCCTTAACAGTTCCTTCCCTCCTCTCCTGCTGTATTTCGTGTCATCATTTCGGAGTGGGGTTGATAACGCACTGTAGACAGACACTCCACAGGCTGAACGCCGTCCTTATACTTTATGTGCATGTACAGGCAGTACATGGAAATCTTAGTGGAGATGAATCAGAGGAACAAGCCTGCGTCCTCTGAGCTGATAGACTCTTTCTTACGACAGCAAAGCAAAGGAAAATGAGGAACCGAGGCCAGCGTACCTGCGCTGATGTAGGTGCCACTATAAGGGCTGTGAATAAGCTGCATGCTGGAATACATTTTTCTGTAGCATAAGTCGGAGAGCTGGAAAGTTTGGGGTAGTATTTGGAAGTAATGTATTAAAGGTGCGTCAATCTTATTTTTTTATGACTTGAGAACCTCTTTCTGTTTTTTCCTTCAGGATCCCAGAAGCAAGCACAAATTTAAGATCCACACGTATGGCAGCCCCACCTTCTGCGACCATTGTGGGTCACTGCTTTACGGGCTGCTGCACCAGGGGATGAAATGTGACAGTAAGTGAAGTTTTTCTTACGTTACCAAAAGGGTATTTTAGAAAGTAAGTGGAAACACTGGGTAACAGCTTCTTAGTTCTTTTCCGTGGAAAATACCATTTCAAATGTCAGCTATTTATAGTACTGCTACATTTCAAGTGGATATTTCAGTGCTGTAATAATATACTAATGAAAATCACCTCTGTTGCTGAGAACATGATGTATTGAGTTCGATGCGGCCGAAGAGCCTTTGCCATGGCAGCCTTGAGGAGGACTGGTCTGGGACTGCTCAGGTAGACGCACCGTTGAAAGCTGAAATGGCAGTTTGGTTGATAGCCAAGGGCCAATATTTTCTTTGCATTTCATTTGTCCTGGAAGTCTCCTGCTAGAAAATCTAATAATCCATTTAAACCTAACTCCCTTCGTTGCTAATACTGGCACGAACGCTCTGTTTTCTCGGTCATATTCCCAGCAAGTCTTTATTCCATTTTCACTTTTTTTTTTTTCCTCGCTCTTCATTAGTGGTATCTTCAGGTTTCTGACGTCGATTATTTTATTCTCTGTTTAATTCACTGTCTACAAAATGTACTGTAAGATGGAGACCAGCCATATCATTCAGTTGAAAAACACGCAGCTGTAATCGGAAAGTCTTGCCAACCGTTAAGCGTTGTAATCTTAACTCTCTCTTTGCTCAGTGTTTGCAGTGTAATCGTATTATTAGCTCCTCAGAGCTGTCTGAACCATTTTTATATCCGCAGCCTGCGATATGAACGTTCATAAGCAATGCGTAATAAATGTCCCGAGCCTCTGCGGCATGGATCACACAGAGAAAAGAGGAAGGATTTACCTGAAAGCCGAAGTCACTGGTGACAAACTGGAAGTAACCGGTAAACAACTAATTTTGGAATTTTGCAGGTTTTATAAATGTATAGTATACACTGTGGGTTTATATACCTTGCTGCAATCTTTGTGTATTAAACCCAGTGACAGAGTATTTCCCTTCAGAAGTGTGAGGATTCCATTCAATGTGGTCTTGAATCAAGAAACTATGAACTGGTGTTCATAAAAATAAGTAGAAAAATGAAAGCTGTAGTAATAGCTTTAAAAACTCAGGAATATTAATGAGAAAATCACTGTAATTCCAATTTTTGGTGTAGAAAACAGCCCAGTAGGGTAGCGGGCTGTTCGGGAAGTTAGCCGTCAGCTTCAGAACACGAGAAATACTCTTAAACTTTCATCAGCTGAGGAGTTGTTTCCTGCGTGTCGGAGTATTGAATAAACAAAGGCAACTTGGATTCAATCCCAAATATTACTCCCAGTGAGTTATAAAATAAAATAAAAAAATAAATTACCCCATTCTCTAAGGTTAAGGTTACCGAGATGGGGAGGAGGGGGAGGGAGGAAGGAAAGAGAGGGTGGCAGTTCATTTCCTTGGAAGCCTTTCTCCCGGGATTTATGAGCGAGCATTGGTTGCGCACACACAGGCACACCCCCACCGACCCATCCCAAGTCTGAAGTTGCAGAAGAAAATCTGGAAAATTTATTTTTCACCTTGAAGGTCTGTTTTGTCCCCCTAAATAGCCATGTAATAGGTTGTTTACCTCCAACAGAACTTCCCTGTGCTGTATCAGAGAGTGGGGGTTATCGCTCAGGATCTGCATAAGAATGTGCATTATGGCCCGTTGCGTTTGTTCCGTGTGTGCTTTCTATTTTAGCTGGGGACAACTAATAATTAGTGTATCAGACATCGGAAATGTGAAGTTGGTAATGAACTTTGTTGTTGATTTTTCCTTTCTGTTGGACACGAATATGCAAAAAAATGTTCTTTGCCAATCAGATTGCAGTGTATTTACTCAAAGGGAGAGCACAGGGCGGGAGTTAGGAGGGACAGAAGTGAAACAAGGGAAGGAATAACAGAAAATTCAGTTCGTGGGTTGTTTTTTTTTATAGGTAGAGGCAAGTCCCTAAAACAAACTAAATTCTAAAAGAAAGTTCAAATATTTTATGGCTCAAAACTTTAAGGAAATTTCCAATATGTGCTGTAGCAAGTAGAACCAAGATAGGTATGATACAACGTAGGAAATGGTGTAGAAGACACTCATGAAACACAAATTATCAAAAGCTTTTACCTCAGGAGAGCGGGTTGGTCAGTGTGTTGTCACAGGTGACCAATGCTGCTTTTTCGGTAAAGAAAACCAAAAGACAACAAACCTTAATGCATCACGTTCGGTGTACACTGATACATCTTTACCGTTGGGACTGCAAAAAACTGAATTGAGTGCCCACACTACGGAACAAGAACAGGGTACAATGCTGTGATTGTTGCCTGTGTGGTGTTGCAAAATGGGATTAAAGTGGAGGGCAAAGTTAGAGCAGGACAAAGTGGGAGGTTCCTTGGACCATCTCAACTTCTGCCTTTGTCTCTCGATGTGGTTGCTGGCGACGTGTGGATGGTGAATGGTGTGTGTTGCTTCAGCGTTGCTCAGTGGAAGGCCAGAGCCCATTATACGCCAAAAGGATGTTCCTTCTACCTCTGCACTTCTCTGGGGAATGAGTCTCAGTGGAGACCAAACCCTCTGTGGTCAACGTAAAGGACATCCGACCATCACACTGGATTTTCACAGCTTATAGGACCAGCAAACTTCCCTCCTGTGGCTGTATTCATTCATGGCTTTGTTCTCTCTAAATCCAGATACCTCCATATTCTCCTCTCAATGCTTATAAAATGCATTGAAAAGGAGAAGTATGATAAAATTTAGGATCAGAACGGATCCCAAGTGATACTTAATTGGAGCTTAACTTTTCAAATAGCTTCCTGTCAATGTAGGAGGGGTAAATTTGTCCAAGGTACTGTCATTGCCAGAAAGGTGCTTTGTCTTAAGTAGCGAGGCATTTCGCAGATGGTGATGCGGGTTCTGAAAGTAGTCGTACCATGAGACAGAACTGATTTGAAAATCATCCAAGTGAAAAATTTAATATTTGCATTATTCTAGGCCACTTTGCAGTGGTTCTTAAATATGGCTTAAACTTTCTGACATAATGCACATAATTTGACAAGTAACGTGTACATATTTTCTGATGATTCAGCAGCTTTATAATCCTTTTAGGGACAAAACCAGTTCTCACAAGTCTTTGTGGTACCAAGGCACTATAAAACAATGACACAAATAGTTATGCTTTTAGTTCACAATTTTATTTGAAAAGGTCTTGTCTGAAATACAAATATGGTAAAAGTGTTACAGATATTTTGTAAGTTTTCTTCATAAGCTCTATTTGGGATGAGTTTTCTTGGCAAATGCTGTTACTTTTATGTTTATAAATAAAACATTTCCATCCTGCAATTAAGTAGGTTTCTGCACAACAAGAAAAATGTTTAGTATAACCTTGTTATGTATGTAACAATTATGGTGCGTTTAAGTTGTTTTGGTTGAGGCTTGTCAGCATTTCCAAGCTTTCAGAAAATTTCCTTAAGTAAAAATGGCAGTTGCCCTGAAAGTAAGCTTTTTGGGTTTGTTTTTTTTTGGGGTGGGTTTATTAAATTAAAAATACTATACAAACCAAGCCCAGACTGGGTGAAGTTTCAGATGCCTTTTGTGCAGTTATCAGAAATTAGCAATTATCAGTTAGTTGGTGGACATATTGCTATGCAAAATTTCAAACTCCTTTTCTCCCAGTATGGCGTCGCTTCTAAAATTTTGTTGACAAAACCGTTGTTAGAATATACAGTTCCTAGAGAGGCCAAGCACAATACCACTGCCTTTAGCTTGGGGAAAGGAGGTGAAGTAAATGTCCAGGACGTTTAGGAACAGCAGGAAAAATAATCAACGATGGGCTGTTTGGTTTGAGCCTTTGCGTCAGTCTTTTTCAAAGGAATTACTCGGTAGGTGTTGAACTCCTTCAGCTGAATTCCTTAATATCTCCGCTTTGCATC